GGCATTCCAGATCAACCCCAAATTCTGCTACCAACTCCCTGCTTCAGGAACATCAGGGTGACAGGAGGAAGGAGGGGAAGGAGGCACAAAAATAACACCCAGCTTCACCAAAATACCCCAAGCCCAACACTCAGCATCCTCCGCACGGCGAGGAGGGCGCAGGGCAGCAGCACCCGGCTGCACCGCGGTGATCGAGCTGCAAAAGTGCCCTGAAAGCTCCTTGTTCAGAAGCAGTTCCCCTCTCTCCTTCCCTCCCCAGGCTGGTAAAGGCTCGCCGAGCCCGGAGCTGCAGCAAGAGGAGGTTTATTTATAGAGAGGCAGCGAGGGAGAGACTAGTTAAACATAGCAGCCTCGTTGCTGGCAGGTCTCAGCGCCCAGCTCTGGGCTTTTACAGAATGAGCAGGACTAAAATGGGATGTGTGGAGCAGCTGGGGACAATGGGGACAGCTACCCTTGGACTTCCCATCATAGTGTGCCTGTAGAGCTGAGCTAGGTGCAGGGAAGGGAAGGATGCTGGGGAGAGGAGAGCTTTCGGGGCTCAGGGGCTCTGACAAAAGGGGGAATTTCAGGAGTGAAACAAGTTTATCTGACCCAAGACAGAATCTGAGCTGATGGAGATGACCTGAAAACTCCTTGGCAGTTCCTGTGTTGCTGAGGAGGTAATCTCCCATTTGTGTGTGTTGGTACCCCTCTCCCCAGGGACCCCAGATCTTGCTGTAACAGTCTGGGTAAGTCTGGGGAAATACCCCCAGCGCAGCTTTTGCCAGGGCGAGTCTCACCCCGCAGAGAGCACTGGTACCAGTAACCGTCTGCGCGCAGCCGGGTGGGATGCTCCCAGGCAGCACCACGCTGACAGCAGTTACTTACGTTGACAAACTCCTTGCCATTGTACTTGACGCGGATCCTGGGCTCCTGGATCACATCCAGGTTGGAGCCGGTGACGGTCAGAGGCGTGTGGCCGCTGCGGAGAAGCAGGAGACACCTGATTAATGACGGGGCAGGAGGGGCTGGGGCTGCGCAGGGAGGCTGTGCCTGACAATAAGGATGCTCGTCGATCTCAGAAAGATGTTTTCTGCAGACACCTCAGGCACCAGGTGACAGAGTGGATGAATACCTGCTCCCCGAGTCGCTGGGGAGTGGGGTCTCACAATTTAGCTAGATCCTGTGCTCTCAGCACCCCCTCCCACCTCAAAGCATCGCGAGGCAGCAGGATGAGAAATGGGACCAAAGAAATCAACTGAGCTGAGACTAAATACAAAAGACAATAAATTAGTCACAGTGTTTAATGATTTACACAGCGGTGTTTTTAAGGAACACGACAAACGGTACGTGCAGTGAAGGAACTGAAGTGCGCTTGCAGCTGCACTGCAGACGCAGCAAGTTGTCACATAGAGCGGGGAGGGATGCACAGCACCCGGTGCCATCAGGACCAGGGAATAGGACACAACCCCCCAGGCTGGAGTACTGCATTCTCCTACAGCCAGTGCTCTGAGCAAAGTCCTTCACTCTCGGCTTCTTCTTCCCCCCAGTCCCCAGCACCTCTGCAGCACAGCCCAGGTTCCCCCCAGTCCCCAGCACCTCTGCAGCACAGCCCAGGTTCCCCCCAGTCCCCAGCACCTCTGCAGCACAGCCCCCAAGCACCTCTGCACCACCCCCCAGCTTCCCCCCAGTCCCCAGCACCTCTGCAGCACGGCCCAGATCCCCCCAGTCCCCAGCACCTCTGCAGCACAGCCCAGATCCCCCCAGTCCCCAGCACCTCTGCAGCACAGCCCAGATCCCCCCAGTCCCCAGCACCTCTGCAGCACAGCCCAGATCCCCCCAGTCCCCAGCACCTCTGCAGCACAGCCCAGATCCCCCCAGTCCCCAGCACCTCTGCAGCACAGCCCAGATCCCCCCAGTCCCCAGCACCTCTGCAGCACAGCCCAGATCCCCCCAGTCCCCAGCACCTCTGCAGCACAGCCCAGATCCCCCCAGTCCCCAGCACCTCTGCAGCACAGCCCAGATCCCCCCAGTCCCCAGCACCTCTGCAGCACAGCCCAGCTGCTCCCTCCAGCCACCGCCATGCACGGTCCTGACCAAACCATCCCACCCAAACCCAGATGAATTTGGACTCAAAGCAAACATCTCGCAGAGCCTGCTGAGAGATACTTACTTCTTCCCAGGGAAATTTTAAAAAATAATTGGAATTTGAAATGAATAGCTGTGTTACAGCGCTTGCGAGCACAACCATTAAAGTAACACCAGGGGACAGAGTGTGGCCCAGGGTTTTAAGCAGTGACAATGTCACAGTGATGCGACAGCGCTGGCTGCCCCGTTCCTAGCAGTGGATTTGGGATAAACATTTTGATTAGCATCAGCTTTTTCCTTTAGTGGTGGTTGCTGGTTTTGTTTTATTCCAGGACTATGAGAAGGAGCCTTTAACGAGCAATTGTGCACTTCTTCAGCAGATGGAAGTGATCCGGGGGCTTTATTTGTGCTCCCAGAATCTCGGTGCAGACTGCTACTGCTGTAATTGCCTCAGTAATTACAACTGCTTTACTAACTCTGGACCCGATTTTCTGTAAATACAAACGCCGCAGACACCCAGCGCTGACAAATCCAGGATGCTGGGCAGGATGTGCATTTCCAAACAGACCCTGAGTGGATGACGAGAGAGAAGCTGCCAGACTGGGCAAGCTGGCTCCTCTCCCTCTGCCGAGGACCCGCTGGCAGAGCCCTGCGTTACCTGGCGATGCTCCACTCGGGCTCGATGTGCTGCACCTTGGGATCGTCGATGTACTCGAACAGCAAGGTCCGCTCCAGCTGAGCCCGGTCGACGCTGACGGAGACGTGAACAGCCCCCAGGCCGTGGGCTGACGGGGCCGACACGCAGACGATCTCGTTCATGGATCGCCTGGGCAAGAGAGAAGCCGGGGAAGCGTTAATGGGAGGTCATGGCAAAAAACAACCCTTTGTCTTGGTGCTGTCCCGTCAGTGGGTTGCTTGCAAAAAGGCTGAGCCATCAGTCCGCCCCCCCCCCTGACACCCCCGAAGGGGATGAGCTCCCGAGATGGGCAGGAGGGC